AGGTAAGTATCTCATATTTTTGCCTGGGGCTAGCCTCAGTCTGGATCCTTCTAATTATGTTTCTTTGGTAGCTTGGATGACAGGCACATGTCACAATGCCTGGCTTGTTTTGTTACAATGGGATCTTGCTAACTTTTTGCCCACGATGGCCTCAAACCTCAATCCTCCCGATCTCCAACTACTGAGGACCTACGATAACAGCCATGAGCTACTGCACGCGTCTGTGAGCAGGATTTTTATTTCAGCCTTAATGAGAAGGATCAGAGCCTGAGTCAGATAAAATCTGTGTTCTTGGAGAACACATTGAAATGAGGAAAAAAGAAAAAGAAAAAAGAAAACAGAGAGTGAAATTCACAAGATAAAAAACTGAGATTGGGAGTCTGGAAGAATATTTCTACATCTGAAGATGGGTACTATAACCTTTTCTCTTTTTCCCCAAAGTCACGTTTTGGGGAATCATTGCATGACATCTGGTCTCTGTAAATCCCTCACCTGGCTCATAAATTCATTGATGACTCAGTGAGGTTGAGAACATGAAATCCTCCAAGGTCAGACTCATGGTTTCCTTTCAGGCTCATTTAGCCTTTAATTGCAAAACCAATGCATTGGCTAACCACAAGGACATGGTCGGTGCACGCTGGAGGCAGTAAAAGCTCAGTGTTACTGCTTCTGAGAGGCAGCTGTGGACCGGGTGGTACAATTTACGTAGGAGGGGCAAGAGGATGAAGCATCACTCCTGTGGCTTCTGAAGAGTGTCCTGCTCAAAGCATTGTCTTCCCACTAGCCCATTCTTCTGAATCTACTTGGCTTGCAATCAGGGTCAGATGGTCTGGAAAGTAGCCAGTATGCAGTGCAGTGACTTAGAAGTCACCAGAAAGATCCCCTGCTACAAAGGGATAGCCTCCCTGACATACTAGAATGCCACAAATCTTTGCATTTACCACTCCATTAATTCAGATTATCGAAAGCTCTTGTATGAGTGTGACCTGCCAGTTCACTCTGTAGTAGGAAAGTGCAATTAGGGGCTCTTCAAATTAAGCCCTCATTGCTAGGGAATTGAAGGAAGCACTGCTCTTTTGGCATGAAGTCATAAAGTACCAGCTCCCCACGTCCTCCAGCCTCCCAGTCTCTGATCTGTCTTCACAGCGTCTCTACACAATATTCCAGTTGTGTGTGCTGCACTACAACTTTGTTTATTTGTCATCCTTATTAGGTTGTGCACCCTCTGAAGACAGGAACTTTAGACAAATCTCTGATTATGTAGACTCAGTGTCTGGCACCATATCAGCACTTTGAAAATGGCCAAAGGAAAAAGAAAGAGGGAGAGAGAATGGAGAAAGGAAAGGTAACTTTGGAAGGATTAGTAAGTGTACTCGGGTAATTTACAAACAGAATTTTCACTTATTTTATGGTAGTAGGGGATTTGAACTCAGGACTTTGCACTTGCTAGGCAGGCGCCTTACTGCTTGAGTCATGCCTCCAGTCCTTCACTTTTTATGAAACAAGAGAAGCAAGAAAAGATGGCTTTGGTGACCAGAAAGCAAATTTGGAAATGCAAGGCTTGAATTTTTCTCAGCCCTTCTTTCTCTAAGGCTACAAAGTGAAAATCTGAAATCCTTCATATGACCCAAATTTTTCCAATTTGGGTTCCAAGCTCTGAATTTACTTTATCTCCTACCATTCCCTCCTACTCCTAAAGGAACAACCAAGCTAAAATTCTCATTATTTTCTTGATCTTGGCTAGGTACATAACCCTGCTTCTGTCTGTGATGCATCCTCATTGGAAATCATTAGTTATCCTTCAAAGTTTATCTTAAAAATGTCTTCTACTTTGAAACCATCCCTGGGTACAATTGCCTTATTCTCTCTATATACCCATTACTCTGAGCGCTCACATTTACTGTAACACCCTCAGCCTCATTCTTACTCATTTGTCTTCCTCTTCTCTGCGAGGCACTGTGTGAACTGTAGAAAACAAGATGTTTCCAGCATAAATCTTGTGCTTTATCTATTTCTAATTCTCTAGTGTCTGAAATTTCTGTGGCCCCTGGCACAAACCAAGCGCTCAGTTAAATTGTGATTAAATAAATGTTGAATGAAAATGATCTGGGGCATCATTCTAGAAAAAAGCCAGAGGGACGCAAGCCAGAGAAATGTAAGCCAGACACTGAATAACCAGAGTGAGGTCCCCAAAACTTCCAGGGTGTGAGATGTGGTGGCACACACCTGTAATCCCACTTGGGATGTAAAGGCAGGAGGACCTCCAACTCAAGGCCAGCCTCACCTACACAGGGAGACCCTGTATCAAAAGGAAGGAAGAAAGGAAGGAAGCAAGCAAAAAAGGAAGGGAGGGAGGGAGGGAGGGAGGGGAGGAAGGAAGGAAGAGAGGAAAGGAAGGGAGGGAAAAGAGAAAAGAAGAAAAAAAAGATCCAGGCATGTTGGTACATGCTTGTAGTCCCAGCTACTCAGGAAGCAAAAGGAGGAGAATCACAGTCCAAGGCTGACCCTGACAAAAGTGGAAGCCAAATGTGGGGTGTGACTGAAGTGGAAGAGTGTTTGCCTAACAAAAGCAAGGCACCAAGTTCATTCCCCAGTAACACTGGGGGGAAAAAAAAGCTCAAAATTCACTCAAGAAATGTGATGGTGAGCGGAAGAGAAGAATCACAAGACCATAGGATTCGTGTGTAGTGTCCTGTAAAGGAGATCGCTCTGGGTCATTGGAGTAACTGTGCTGGTATGAATCACACTGTGAAGGGGGAACTCACACACTGTTGGTGAGAATGCAAACTAGTACAGTCACTATGGCAAACAGCATGGAGGTTCCTCACAAAAACTAAAAGTAAAGCTGCCATGTGATCTAGCAACCCCACCCCTGGATACGTATACAAAGGGAATGAAATCACATGGCGAAGGTCACCTGCATGCTTGTATGTATTGCAACACTGTTCATAAAACGTCAAGATATGGAATCAAGCTATGTGTCTGTCAGGGATGAATGGGTAAAGAAAATGTGGCATGAATACATGAAATCCTACTGATGCAAATGACACCAGAGCACATTACATTCAGTGAAATAAGCCAGGCACAGACAGGCAAACATCACATGGTCTCACTCACATGTAGAATCTGAAAAAGGTGATCCCATAGAAGCTGACAGCAGAAAAGTACTCAAGAGACTGGGGAGGGTAGAAGGGAAGGAGGGTGACCAGGGGTTGGTCAAGGGTCCAATGTTGCAGGTACATAGGAAGTGAGCTCTGATGTTGTGTGGCACAGCAGTACAAATATAACTAATAATAATACCTTCTATGTAGTTCAGAGAGGATTTTGAATGTACTCATCACTAAGAAATGATAAAAATTTAAAGTGATGTATGTGCTAATTATCTTGATTTATCATTACCTAAGATATGCATGTATCAAAAGACCATATTGTACCAAATAAATATGTACAAAAGTAAAATTATAATAACAACAAAAAATTTCATTGTACACTGAGAAATTAAGATGATTATCATAGAAACTTTAAAATGTTTGTTAAAATGACCAACATCAGTTTGCTCTTCTTTCTGGGAACACAGGAGGTTACCTATCCCAAAGTCCCTGGTAGTTAGATGTGACTCTATGCCTGAATTCTAGCAAATGAACTTTGGGCAGAAGGGACACTGTGCTTCCAATCTTGGCCATTCAAGCCTGTGACACAGTCCTGCACATAGTCCCTCTTCCTTCACCTGATAGACAGGTAAAAGCATGGTGGAGGACTCCACACAGACCACTGGATGGTAGATGGATGAGAGGCTTAGATGAGCCTCAATCTCTAAATGACTGTCTGGAGAAGAATATCTCTGTATCCTACTGCAGCCTACATCTCACTGGGATGTGAGCAATGAATACTCCATTTCTCAACTAGGAAGTGACACATGCCCGTAATTCTAGCACTTTGAAGGCTGGGACACAATGATAGTGAGTTTGAGGCCAGCCCGGGTTACATAGCAAGATCCTGTTTCACAATGAATGAATAAATACATAAAAAGAGATAACCAAAATCTCAGTAACTTCACAAATTAAGGTTTTCTTTCTGCATCAATTTGCTTACAATGCTGACAAATGTAATAATCAACCTCCAGTCCCTCATCTGACACATGCATTGCCTGCTTTATAAGGTAAGCATGAGGATGAGGATAAAGTTCTGACCACTGTCACATAGACACAATGGTTGAGTTCATTGTTGCTTTTCCTTTCAGAGGGTTGGGCAGGAAAAGAAAATTATTTCAGAGCAATTCCCTCTATATGGGAGAGACCAGTCTTGAGAGGGGAGACCTTGCCATGGTAAGTCTGGGGCAATCTTCTCTATATCAATGAATCTTTTGGTCTGAATATTCTATGATTTGGTAGTGTTATTTCTCAAACCTTCAATGCAGCCTTGGGGTCTGGCACAGCTGCCATAGAAAACTATGCTCAACACTCTGGGTTGGGCATGGTCCTAGACCACTCACTCACTGCCAGTCTTTGGCCTCCACATCATCCATGCAATTAGGAGTTGCATCAGTGGGCCTCTGTGCCTCTCCCATCTTAGTGAGCATTCCCAGATGTAGCTAGATCTTTGTGCTTGGATGTGTTCCAGTGGCTTGCAGATTTCTTGATGGACATAGGAGAGAGTCCACTGCCAAGGAGGAGAGGAGGAGCGTTGCCTGACTTGTTGCCCTTCAAAGTTGTTTCCAAGCCAAAAATTTTTAAGATGACTTTGTGGTGAGGAGAACCATGAGTCATATGGTTTTCTAATTCTATTTCAGGAAACCTGTGGGAGGGAGTATGATGTTGTGGAAAACAGTAGGGCACCGGAGCCACCCTGGACTGTGTTTGAAACCTGACTCTGAAGCTCACCAGCTGCATAAGACAGAAACATTATTCTGATTCTGTGAGCCTCACTCTCCTTCTCTGTAAAATGGGAGTAAGAGCACCTGTTCTCAGGATGGTCAAGTGCTTAAATGACCTCGCATGAGAAAGCACCAGAAGAGTGTTTGGTGTGTGGACAGCTGGAGCACACTTGCTCTGGAACCTACTATCAAGGAATCTTGCCACATTTCTGAGACTTCACAGCTCCTGAAGGTGGGACAATGTCATGTCTGTTGTAATTTTGTAAGCTCACTTCTCTTAACAGAACTACAGAATGCCCACATATTTATCTTTATGTGCACAGCCACCAAATGTATTATTCAGAAAATATATATTTCAAGTACAGCAGCGTATGTGGTTTCTGTCTACTCACATACATCATAGAAATAACTGTCATCAGGTTTCAGGAGAATTGAATAAATTACTACCAAGCTCATGGAATGTGAGAAGGATTCAAAAGCATCCATTCTTTTAAAGATTGAATACTTATTGCATATTTGCTCTACTGTATGCCATGGGAACCATGCTGCACTTATATAGTACTTACTGTGTACCAAGCTCTGCATTAAATACTTGAAATAAGTATATTTTCTTATTTATACTTAAATCAATGTAAAGTATAAGTATCATTGTTCTCATTTTAACAATGAGAACTTGACTGTTGAGGTAACTGAAGTAACTTTCCAAGATTTTACTAATTGTTAGAAGTAGGATTCCAGCTACAAAGTCTGTGCCTTCCCCAGTGCATGAACCTTGTCTCTTGTCTTTTTGCATTGCATAGCTTCTATACAGGATTCCTGTCCTTGTGGTGGAAACTCCAGGGTTGTGTTGTCTTGGGGAGATGAGTCCTGTTCATCTGGGATACAGATACAGTGTGTGCTCAGAGGGAGCTACCCTTCTAGCACGTCTATAAATGAGTCTTCCAAAACCGAACTCAGAGGACTGGAGGCAGAGATTTCATGTTAAATCTCTTATGCTTTCATAAAATGACTAATACACAAGAACAGGGAAATATCAGTTATGAGAGAGAGTCGCCATTGAGTTTCCAGAGAAGCCCTTTTAGTAGCAGGTTTTAGTAGTAGGCTCGTACTGAGGGCTCTGAGAATTGAGTGAGTTTTCAATAAAAAGCAAATGATGACTGCCATGCTACCTATTTTTATTGTGTTCTTGTTTGAAACTACATCTAGCACAATCAAAATGTTTTAAATCTAAGTCCTCTTTCTCTTGGATTTTGGGGGGAGTCTTTTGACATCTCTGGGTCCCACTGACTTAGTTTTTGTGTCTTTAGAACTATTATTGGTGAACCTCAAACCAGATGTTTCACATGGGCAGGAGCCGCTGCGGGGGAGGCCTGGGTAGCATCTATGTGCAGAAGCAGCAAGGTTGAATCAGCAAAGATTTCTGAGTCTTAAATTCTCATGTTCAGACACAAAGCACAGAGTGGCTGTGTGACAGCTGGTCCTGAAATCAGGAAACCCGACTTCTAACTCCTGCTCTGGTGCTGCCTTCTGCCATGTGGCTCTTAGCCAGTTACTTCCTCCATCTTAGGTCCTACCATCTTTCCTTTTAAATCTTTCCTCCAATTCTCTCATTCTCTTTTCAGTTCTCAATTTTCTGATTCCAACTTCAGGTCCCATTTGCCCCTTTCCAGAACATTCTCATATCCCCTTAGTTCTGCTAGCATTTTCACATTCACAGATTGGTCTGTGTTAGGCTTCTCCCCAGTGGTACCTTCTCCTGACTTCCTGAGTCAAACCATAATTCAAGGTTCAGTTACCACATCCCTCAGGGAGAGACCCAGGGTGACTTACAACAATCATGTTCAAATTGCCATTCTGAAGTTTGATTTTCTAAGAAATTTGAGTCCACCAACGATTTGAATAAAGTCTTCAGAACCTCCCAAATTTTACACATAAAGTAACTGGAGGCTCCACAGACTTCACAAATAATGAACCACAATTTTTTCAGTAGTGTTATATTTTTCTAGACCTTAATAGAAAGCATGTATGTTGAGTTTGCCTCTGCGAGATAGGTAGGATTACGTTGTTACCTAGCCTTGTCCCTTGTCATTACAATTCACAGTTAACTCAGGAACATCAATTCTCTCCTGGGCTTAAGCCCTCTGCCTCTCTGTTCCTGATTTCCTGTACCACTCATGAGTGTAAATATCATAAGTAAGATCTATGAAAGTTCTTTGTAAACTGTAAGGAATCCTACAAACGCAAAGCCCCTTAGATATTTGATGTGCGTGTATGAGTACATGAGGGGGTGTTAGTTTTATAGCAACTTTATTGAGATATAGTTCACATACTATAAAATTATGCTATTTCATTTTTTTTAGAGGGCTACGGATGAAACCCCAGACCTTGCATGTGCTAAGTAAGTACTCAATCAGTGACCTACACTTCCAGTTCCCAAACTGTACTTTTAACAACTCAAATGTACCCTTCTGCCAAATTTGCATGGTTCTAAGTCATCTTCTGTTTTTTTACTGTCTTGATTGTATAGTTGTCTTAATCTAATCAGAGTTGCACGAGCCTTGTCAGGTGACACTGATTTGCAACCCCCCAAGCTCCCCTCGCTTTCGGTATGAGTCGTCCTGACCTTCTCTTGCCCGTTCAACCAGTGTAGGGCAGGAAGGGGAAGGGTGGAGGAGAGCTCCCACCCTTTCCTGCATAACAGCAGAGACCTCAAACGTACACCACCAACCCAGTCAGCCAACCAGGAGCAGTGTCTTCATGGCTTGGTCTTCCTTCTCTCCTGATACCTCACTTGAAACCATCTCTGAACTCCTTAAATTGCACTTCTTCTTTAAATTTTTTGTTTCAACAAGTCAAAATTGCCTTATTATTTGCCAGGGTACATCAGTAACACAAAACTACTACACAGAAAAAACCACATCAATAAATATCGGCATCCTTTTCAGCTTCAGACAATGATTGTTAAAAAAGAGCCATTTTCACTAATTTAACATATTATCCACGACATGAAGTACCTTTGCTCCCTATTGAGACAAAACAGGACTCCAATTGGTCTTGCCGGTCCATGGACCATTTTTATTTGGACATTGCATTAGTTCTTAAAAATAACCTGTTTATGACATTTCAAGTGGCCTCAGTCCAAAAACTGAGAGAGCTGCCAATCCATGAATCATTGACAAAGCCAGCTGCAGGCATCAAGTGTGGCTGCTGCCTCTGGGGAAGGAGAAAGTAGCAGCTGGACAGAGGACAGGAAGTGTGAAGGCAAATGCACTCTTGGTTAGGGCTGAAGCACTAATGTCTTCACTTGCTCTTCTGTTTTTGCACCTGAAGTTCACCTGGAAGGAAGGTTGTTCCTTAAGTGACCTTAGAGCTATGGATGTCTGCATTTCCACAGTTCCAAAACATGCTTAGGAAGCAGAAACACAACTCATGACCCTGCAGAAGGAGTCCCTGTAGGCAAAGGAAACCGATATGGCCAGACATTTCTCATTACTTTTTTCACCTGTTTTAGAAAGCCAAGGAATGTTCCCAAGTTTTCTGCAGATAAAGAAATCAGCAAAGTTTGCCATCAGGCCCAATTGACTTTTACTCCTGATATCCCTTTCCTTTCTACTGCAGTGCACTCAGAATTTTTAATGGAGTGTCTGAGTCTATACCACAAATAGCTAGTGTGAGCTTGCTGTGTGGATATAAAGCTGGCTCATGTTCTCCAACCTTGAGCAGCAACTAAGAAGTGAAGAAGGCAATTTTATATGAAGTGTTTCATCGGAATCTATTGGTGCTTTTTGAGATTACCTTCTGAATGAGAAAACAGAGGCTAAAGTCATTGGTCAACTAGGTGAAGACAGGAATAGCACAGAGGTGGAACCAGGAGCATGGACTCCCAGACCCAGTGTTCTTTCCAAAACTCCTTCCTTCTTTAGACTATCAGGAAAGGAACTGAAGCAGAGTAGATGGTAGATAGAAAGTAAAGAGGTTCCAGTCAAAGACAATGTTTGTCCCTCAATTATGTATTTACCTACAGAACCTTTCACAGAGCCTTAAAGGTGGAGGTTCAGATGCGTTTGTTGACTTCTATGAGTGCATGAAGAACCTTTCACAGAGCCTTAAAGGTGGAAGTTCAGATGTGTTTGTTGACTTCTATGAGTGCATGATGAGTACGGCAAGGAAGACCTTGTGAAGGAGGCAACATGGAACTAGACTATGAATGCTGGATCTTTAGGGGCAGAGGCCTTCACATTCTAAAGGGGAACTGTGAACAGAAAATGGTGGAAAGAGTTTTCATGTGGCTGTTGAGTTGGAGCAACAAAGAAGAAAAAGCCAGATCATATGTGTGCAGAAACTTGAATATTTAAATGATAATTTACAGATTCTCTGTGCAATAGAGACCCCAAATATAATTGATTTTGAGTGAACACTTGACACTATCTTGTGAGAAAATGATGTAAGTTATGGTAATCTTTGCTGGCACAGACATGGTAGAGGACTCCATGTAGACCATGGCATGGTCTTATGTGACCAGCAAATGAAAGCCAGTCACAATTTAGGTGGTACATGGACAAATTGGGCTATATAGCTCTGAAATCATGCTCCATTGGGGATACTACTCTGTTGACTATGGGTGAAGCCCTCATCTTTGCTGAGCCATTTTTGAGAACATCTCTGGGGTGCCCTTTTCTCTTTGTGCCTTTTTTTATCCCCTTCTCTAGTTCATTTGCTTATAAATATGGTAACTACTCCTCTTACTTTCCGACTGTGTACCTGATTTTAACACGAAGTCATGCTTCCTAGAAAACTCCTCAGTCCTGAATACATTAAGTGACCGTGTTGACTTCTCCCTAGTTCCTGGTTCCAGACTTCTTTCTACTCCCCAATCTAAACTCACATATCCAGTGATGTTAAGGCTACTCAGAGTTAATTAAAAAACTGGTGATTCCTGGATATATACCTGGAGGAATCAGTCAGCATATAAGAGAGATACCCTACAACCATGTTTATTGCAGCTGTATTCACAATAGCCAAGCTGTAGAATCAGCATAGGTGTCCATCAATAGATGAATGCATAAAGGAAATGTGATATGTATACACAGTGGAGTATTATTCAGCCACAAAGAAGGAAAAAATTATGTTATTTTCAGAAAAATGGATGGAATTGGAGATCATGTTAAGTGAAGCAAGTCAGACTCAGAAAGACATATATTGCATGTTTTCTTTCTTATGCAGAGTCTACATTTTAAAAAACAGCAAGGACTGGGACATGGCTCAAGTAGTAAAGCACCTGCCTAGCAAATGCAAGGCCCTGAGTTCAAACTCCGGTACTGAAAAAAGAAGAAGGAGGAGGAGGGGGAGAAGAAGAAGAAGAAGAAAGTAAAAAAGAGGGGAAAAAAGATAGGAAGGTAGAAGGGGGGCACTATCTAGGAAGAGGAAATGGGCCAGTGGGGGAGGATAAGAAGGACAAGAGGAGTTACGGGGAGAATATAGTGAACGTACATCTTATACATTATGAAAATGTCATAATGAAACCTATTAAAATGTACAAATCCCATTGACCCCATCCGGAGCAGCTCCTCTGCCCTTATTCTAGCCTCATCCTCCCAGGACTGCTCCCTCAGATGTTTCTCAACCCCTTGAATTACCTCCTGGGGACCTCAAATCCCAGCAGCCTCTTTCCCTGTCCCAACACCTTTATCCAGGATTAAGGAACTGTCATCTCTTTCCTAGATTTTTGTAAAAGAAACATATTTGGTCTCCTGTTCCTCTCCTCTGACAAATAGGTTTTAGCACAACCAGAATGATGACCAAAAAATGTACATTGGATCCTATAACCATGCTGTTTAGAAACTTTCAGTCTAACAAAGTCCACGTGCCTGGACAGTGACCAAATTTCCATGTCACCCACAGACTCTGCCACTCATTCATGTTGGGAGGGAGTGTGGCAAGAGGCAGGGGTGGGACAGGAAGTTGTTTACCTTTCTCTTCACTAATGATGTAAACTCATAGGCAACTATTTTCCCCTTCTCCTCCTTGGAGAGGTCAGTCTTAGGATGCACCAGTCCCCATCTCCCTAAAGAGCGCAGTCTTACTAATCTGGTTGATGAGAAGTTGAACGTATTAAGCTATGTTTTGCTAGTAACAGGATCTCTGTGCTAAAGCAGCTCTCATTGGGTGACCTGACACCTCCCAAAGCATGTGTGAATCTGAAGGCATGACTCAAGTGATAGAATGTCTGCATAGCCAGGCGTGTGTGAAGGCGCGCACTCTCACCTTCTGTACTGCAGAGGCATTCATTGGAATCAAAGCTCCCTCTTTCCCCAGGGCTTTATGGAGTTTCCTAGCAAGCCTTGAAAAGGCTGTTCTCAAAGCAGCCCATTCCTGGTGGCAAGCAGGGTTATTGGGAAGGGCAGAGATGCCAAAGAGAGGGGAGCAGGCCTCATTATCACACACATGAGGATGGGAAAATAGATCCCACGTGATCCTCCCACACACTCAGGGAAAAGGGTATCTCTGGCTAAGGAAGCTAAGGATGGAGAGTGCCAGAAACAGAAGGAGGCTGCCTGTAAGCAGGAACTTACAGGCTCAGCAAGCCCAGCCCTGAAATTGGGATGGCCCAGTGTTGGGCCTTCTGATCCTCACCAAGGAACAGAATTGTGACTGGGCGGGATGGACCTTTTAAAGAAGTTCAAACTCAAAGAGGGACATAAAGAGTTGTGTATTCTCCCCATGAGTTCAGCTGGGCAGGAGAGGGAGAAAAAGGCCAACGAGTGGAGTTCTGCTCCATGGAAATGAGCGGAAATAGAAAATGTAATTAACATGTCTGCCACAAGAAACGAGAGTTAAATCTATTACTCTCCTCCTCCTGTTTCCATTATGAATGATTGTGTTTCAATTATGATCTCAAAAGTATTTCCTTAAGGAAATATGTCAGGGTTCTGCAACGGGGAAAGAAGGAAATGGAGCCATGATCGTTTAATTTATTGCAGTGACTGCATTTTAAAAAGGAAGAAGAAAATGAAAGAGAGAGCAGAAATCCAGGAAAATTGAGAGGAGTGCTTCTGTCTCACCTGCTGTGAGCAGGGAGTCATTGGGCAAAAGAAGCCTGAGGTGTCTGAATATTTATGGAGCCATCTGAAGGTGCAGGATGAAGAAGGTAAGGAAGCTCTTTCTCCAAGGCAAGTGTGCCACTTCACACTCTGGCTCCATTAGTCTGCTCTGTTGTCCTCTAAAGACTTTCAGGAAGGCAATAGCCTGATTTGAGGATGAAAATGACCTGGTCCCAGCAACCTGCTGGACATTTGGCTGGGGGCATGTGAATGAATAGCACATGGCCCTAGCTCTCAAAAATCTCAGTGTAGTGGTAGAGAGGCAGTAGGTCGAAGTGACAGGGAAGAAGGTTGAACAAAAGAGTCCACTTTGGGCTATAAGGGCAAGCTCATAGTAGTCAATAGGAGGGAAACCAGCCAGGGAAATTAATGGGTTACCAGACTCTGACTTATGCTTGCCCTGATCCCCTTGGGAGCAGGCACCTCTGTGGGCTTCAGAAAGCACAAATGCATCCGAGGTGTATTCATTTACTCGTTTACTCTCTTAATAGGGGACTGGGAATTCCACCACAAAAAAGCCTTTGCCTTCTCCCTGAGAGACACAAATGATTACATCAGGATGTAATCACAAGTTAAGACGGTGGGAACTAAGATAATGGTGGTTGTAAGAGGCTAAGGGTTTTGGACACCACCCAGGGAATTCTATCTCGGAGGAAAATAGGTTTCCAAGGGAAGGAAACATTTAGGGTGCATCTTAAGGAGACTAGGGGTTTTGCTGGTGGATGCATGAGCAAAAGGAGGCTGAAAAAGTGTCCCCACTAAAACCTCAGCCCATGTTAAGGAAGAGGGCAGCAGAAGTGTTGTGATTTCAGGATGCCCAGGACTGGTATGTGGAAGGGGGCACAGGAGAGAGTTAGAGTCACACAGGGACCAGGTCTATGGGCAAGGACTTTGTGGCCCAAGGGTTTGGATTTAATCCTAATGACACTGAAGAATTCAGGGATGTTTTCAGAATGGGGTAACATTTGGATTCTAGAAAAATCATATGAGGAAGAGGACCACTCATTAGAGGAAAGTCAGGAAGGGAGAGAGACCAGAGTCCCGTGGGAAGTCTCAGGAGAGGTGGTGGAGGAAAGCAGCATCAGGGCAAAGCAGTAGGAGTGCAGAATCTTCTAAGGCCTCTGCTGAGGGCCAGAAAGAGGTCAGCCTACAGATGCTGAGGCCTTGGTCTATAAACACACTCCCCCAAGCAACAGTTATGGGCAAAAGTCTGGGGAACAACAGAATTGGGGGTTGCATTATTTATTTCTTAATCAGGATCTGAGTCATAAGTACCTCAGTCCCGTCTGTTTTCATTGCCACATACCGATCTCATTTAATCCCTCAAACAACCCTGCAAGGCAACTGGCACCTCCACCTTTTAGTGACAAGAAAAGCTGAACCTCAGAGAAGTTCAGCTTTGCTCAAGGTCTTACATGAAGCAAGTTCTGGAACGAAAACCAGAATTCCTATTTTTTTCACTGAAAACCAAAACTTCCTTCTCTCCCTCCCTCTTTTCCTTCCTTCCCTCCTCTCTTCTTCCCTCATTTCATTTCTTCCTTTCTCCTTGTTTCTCTCACATCTGTTTACAGAGAACTTGTTAGGAGTTCAAACCAATGCTAGATCTTGAAAATCTGGTGTGTTCTATGCACAGGATCCTCTCTTGCAGAGAAGTACACCACAGGGAAGGAGAACGGTGCAGCCATGTTCTAGCCTGTGCAGGAAAAAGGAAGCAACTACACCCCGTGACTAAGGACTTGGGTAAGGCTTTGAACTGAAGGTGGCATTTGCTCTGAGGGTGAGTAAAGCACCTAGCTGTAGAGTATTCTCCTAAGCACAGAGATGCAAAAGAGTTGCTTAGCAGAAGCAGCTGCCCCATTCCCACAGAGTCAGACTGGAATTCCTTCTTCTTGACTTGCTGGGTAAAACTTTTCCTGGTGACCTCCTCTGCTTCTTTTTCAGATGCACCTCATTCTGGCCATCCAACTATACCTGTAATGGGCTGCTGGGAGCAGGTGGGTGGGTGTGAGCAGCAAGAGCTCAAACCCAGGAACCATCCAGTGCTTATCTTCAGGGTCTAGGGACAGAGTCCTTCACAGAAGTCATCAAACTTGCTAGCTCCAGGCTGAGAGGCAGCACAGCCTCTCCCTGTACACAGAGGAAACAGCCCAGCATCGTAAAAGGACACAGATGAATAATTAAGTCACCACTTACAAGAAATTCTAATCTTAGGACAGTTCAAGGTAAAGACAGACACCAGCCAAGAACAGCCAAGATCAACAGTGCCAGAACACTTGGAGACAGAGGCCTTCAGCCAGACACTGTTTTTTCTCTAAATATTGTCACCAAAAAATTCAGTCAGAGTGCCTCTGTCCTCTGGGCAACCCCAGCATATCAGAAATAATAGTAGTAAAAACAACTAGCTATGATTAGGATTGCCTACTATATGATAGTCATTTGTTTATATTATTTTATTTTAGGCTTCACCCACTCCCTTCCCCCAAGCCAAAAAAATCTAAGTAGATATTAATGCAACTAAGAAACCATAGAAGTTGGACAACTGGTGGAAGTCACACAGTAATAAGTAACAAAATTAAAGTATGTCAAATCTATCTGCTCTTCAAGTTTTCACCTTTTTTTTCTTTTTCAAAATAGAGAGACTGGTTCTACAGAAAAACTTTTTATTTATTTCTGAATCCTCTACAACTAGGCTAATCTCAATTATTTGGGGTTCTGAAGATTTTTTTTTAATGTGATGAAAAATATGGCCTTTATCTTCAGAAGTGCGCATATGTGTGTGGGAAGTTTTTAACAAAATGTTAAGCTACTGTAGTTTTACTTTGAAAAACATCCAAATTCTAGGTAATGAAAGGCTTTTTATGAATTGCTTCAGGATTAGAGTTTAACACCTTAAGTCATCATTCCTGAATGACTCCATGATCAGCCCACAAGTGCCATTCTCTTATATTGTCTCTCCTCCCTCTCCTGCACACACTGGTGCCCAAGAAGGGACTACCGGTCTACTTGTCTGCACCGGGTTAGGACACAACCAGAGCAGGGACAGAGCCAGTTGCCACTGACAGCTCCAGGGTGCTTGAGCCTCACATTTCACAGTCAGTTGGAACCTTTAGCTCTGCCATCTTCCATGGCTTGTCCAACTGTCCAGAGAGTTTAGGGTTATACTGCCTTAGTTTTGAAATGAAAATGAACTTCTAACTTCTCACCATTTCCCAAACACCTTGCTCTCCCATGGCTCTAGGTGTTGACCTGTCTTTTCCTATGCACAAAGCATTTGCTCATCTCCAAGCTAATGGAGCAAGCGTCTGCTCATTTTTCAGAAGTTTCACATTGCCTCTTTTTTGCTGCTTCCCTTGGCCACTCTGCACCTAATGTGCACATAATTTGTTATTTCCTTTCTCTTTCCTTTATAAACCATGCCTTTCTGCCCAGCCACACTTAAGGGCCCCTCTATGTGTGAGAGTCTGGGCCCTGGGAAGTCCTGAGTAAAAAGTCTAAATTCCCCTCAGCAAAGTACTGACATCTAAAAAGTCCCTTAAGTCTTAATCTCTTGAAGAATTCTGATGGCTATTACGCCATTTAGCCTCAGTTAATATGACTTTAGTGAGCTTTTTCTTTCATTTTTTTTTCCCACCTCTGGTAGTACAGGACTTCTTGACCTGAAGTCCTGAGATAGTTTTGCAACTTTCCTCTCAGATTCCTTGGAGTTTGTCATCAGGATATTCACCGGGGAAGGTTGTTTTTGAATCAAATATACCCCTGAGAAATTCCCAAATTGGAAAGTCTATTTAAGACAGGAAATTCTTTTTTGAACACACATACACAAGTGTGTTCAAATAAGAATTTGAGTTGTTTGTCTTTGATATTTAAAAGTATCTTTCAAATATTTTCCCAGGCCTTTCCCACTATTGTTTATCAGCAGTCACTTCTATCCTTTGCTTGATGGTTCACAAAATAAAACATAATATAAATCAGAAACTTCATTTTGGGTTGCTTCAAAGTTTGTATACTATCATGAGGAAAGCTCTTACACATCGTATTTTGCTTAGATTTTTTTTCTTTTGTAAGCAATCTCTCCTGTTCTTTCTCCTCCTCCCTGCAACAATCATTTAATTCAAATCTCTAGATTTGATAGTATGGTAAGTATACTATACGTTGAGTAGTGAGAACAACCCGTAGGCAATGTAACAAAGCCTTCTAGTTACTATAGCAGTCACTGCTTTAAAGTATTTAAGTGCTATGCTCAGTAGCATTGATGCTTAAAGCATGGTCCTTATACTGACGGTAATTACTGAAAACCTTCTGGGGGCACACAAGGTCAAAAGCATTCTTGTCATCTGAGCACATTTATCATTGTATTTTGCTGTGTTGACATTTGCAGTGGTGATGCTAAAGCAAAAACTGTTGATACCTCTGTGCAATTTGAGGAAGTGGCACCAAGCTGTAACAGTACGTATGACTTACAGTTATTGTATTCTTCAGCACCACACATTCTGATAAAACAAAACAAACGAGGGGGGAAAAAGACAACTTCTTCTACAAATGTCTTTGATAAAACAATGAAAATTATTAACATAATTCAAGTCCAATCTACATATGTTTCTAATGCTCGATGTGATGAAATAAAAGGCACTCCTACTGACCTTTGGAGGTTAAGGACAGTATTCATTAGCCAAGGCAATACTCAGTCAAAAGAACAATGCAGGAGGTATCACAATACCTGACTTCAAACTATAGTACAAAGCAATAACAATAAAAACAGCATGGTACTGGCACAAAAACAGACATGAAGACCAGTGGAACAGAATAGAGGACCCAGATATGAAGCCACACAACTATGAGCAACTTATCTTTGACAAAGGAACTAAAAATATATGATGGAGAAATAGCAGCCTCTTCAACAAAAAC